AAAATGGTTTCTTACTCATACAGTCTCTTTCTTCATATGCGAAAGGTAATTAAGCCTTAGATGCATACCATGTGCTATAGGCGTAAATACCTTCTTGGGCTCATTCATACTAAACTCGTTTTAGCACCTTGTCAATGTATGTACTTTGACTTAGGTTAAGTAATTTCCTTGATCTATCTCTATAGATTTTAATGCCCAAAATATAGGTAGCTTCACCTATGTCCTTCATAGAGAAACAATTCCCTAACAAAGTCTTTACAAATTGTAGGTTAGGTATGTCATTTCCAATGAGTAGTATGTCATCTACAAACAACATTAAGAACACAATTGTGCTCCCACTAACCTTTTGATAAACACAAGGTTCATCCTTATTCTTGATGAAACCAAACTCTTTGAATGCATCATTAAAATGAAGATTCTAGCTTAGAGAAGCTTGCTTTAATCCATAAATGGATCACTACAGACTTACACATTTTTCTAGTATTTTTTAGATCAACACAACCCTCGAGTTGTGTCATGTACACATCCTTGAGAAGATTTTCATTAAGAAATGTAGTTTTAACATCCATTTGCTAGATTTTATAGTCATAAAATATTGTAATAACAAGTAATATCATAATGGATTTAAGCATAACAACTAGAGAAAAAGTTTCATCATAGTCTATACTATGAATTTGCTTGAAACCCTCAAGCAACCGATCATCGGTTAAAGGTTTATACATTACCATCCATGTCAATTTTCTTTTTGAAAACCCACTTGCACCCAATGGGTTTTACCCCTTCAGTGGTTCAACCAAAGTCCATACTTTGTTTACATGGATTCCATTTTAGATCTCATATCTTCTTGCCATTTTTTAGAGTTTGGGCCCATCATAGCCTCTTAGTAGGTAGTAGGCTTATTATAATCCATGAGCAATACATCATCGCTTTAAGTCATGAGAAATCCATATCTCTTAGGCTCATTACTTATCCTACTAGATCTACATAGATGTTATGTTATTTAAGTAGGTATTTTGTCAACAACTTACGCCCTCTACTCAAGTTCCACTTGAGGTGCATTGCTATCTTGGGGATCATGAATTTCTTCGAGTTCTACTCTCCTCCCATTAGTTCTTCTAGAGATGAATTCTCTTTCTAAAAAGACACCAATTCGAGCAACAAACACTTTGTTCTCATTTGGGTTATAGAATTAGTATCTCTTTATTTCTTTTGGATACCTATAAAATAACATTTGTTAGATTTGGGTCCTAGCTTATCTAAAACTTGATGCTTTACATATGCATCACAGTAGTAAATCTTCATAAAAGATATACCAAGACATTTCCCAATCCATAACTCATTTGGTACCTTTTGAACTACTTTAGATGGAACACGATTAAATGTAAAGGTAGCTATTTCTAGAGCATGTCCCCAAAAGAAAACTATAAGATCTCGTGTGACTCATCATAGAACGTACCATGTCTAACAAGGTGCGATTTCTCCTCTCGAAACATCATTCCATTGTGATATACCCGATGGAGCGAGTTGTGATAAAATACAACACTCTTTAAGATAGTCATCAAATTCTTGGCTTAAGTATTCATCGACTCGATCTAATCGAAGAGTTTTGATACTTTGGCCAAGTTGGTTTTGTACTTCATTCTTGAACTCTTTGAACTTTTCAAAGGATTCGACTTGTGTTTCATAAGATACCCATAGCCATATCTACTGAAATCTTTAGTAAAAGTAATGAAGCAATGATAATCTCCTCTAGCTAGTGAGCTTATAGGACCACATACATCATTATGTATAAGGCCTAAGAGATCACTAGCCCTTTCATGATGTCCAAGTAAAAGGGATTTTAGTCATCTTACCTAATATATAAGATTCACATGTTTCATATGATTCAAAATCAAATGAGTCTAAGAATCTATCTTTATAGAGCTTGGATATGCACTTCTCATTTATATGACTCGATCGATAGTGTGAGAGATAAGTTAGGTTCAAATTATTAGATTTGAATCTCTTGATAATAATGTTATAGACATGCGTTTCAAGATCCAAGAGATAAAGACTATTGATTAATTATGCACTACCATAAAATTTTTCATTTAAATAAACGGTGTAATATTTGTCATTGATTATGAATGAAAAACCTAACTCGTCCAAACAAAACATGAAAACAGTATTCCTACTCATGGCATGCATATAATAACGATCGTTTAAATCAATAACTAGCTTATAGGTCAAAGATAAACTATAGGTTCCTATAACTAAAGGAATAACTCTTACACTCTAATGTCCAGATCACATCGTAATGAAAGCAAGTTCCCTCTCCTTTGGCACTCTACCTTTAGGTTTTAATGCTTTTTCCTTAGGCTTGCCCTTGGGCTTGATGATTTTCTTACCCTTTCCCTTTTGAAAGGAAAAGGGTTTGTACCTTTTCGGGTTTTGTTTAATAGTTCTTAACATGCTTAGAAGCTTTGGTAATGGTTTGTGAATTTCATTCATATTGTAGTTCATGAAAAATTGACTATAGCTTTCGGGAAATGGTTGGAGTACTAAATCGGTGGCCAACTCGAGCCTAGAGGAAATCCCCATCTTTTAAGGCTCTCAACATACTTAATCATTTTGAGTGCATGAGGAGTAATAGGGTTTCCTTCTACAAGCTTACACTAAAACAATGCATTGGAGACATCAAATCTCTCATGACTTCCCCGCCCATGATAGAGCCTTTTGAGATGACCAATCATATCCTAGGCATTCATGTTCTCATGTTGCTTTTGGAGTTTAGAATTCATAGTAGCTAACATGAGATAGTTGACATCCAAATCATCTTTTCAGCATCTTTCTCAATACAAGGGCATTAGTAGTAGGAGTAGGGGGAATGGCTTCTTTTAAGACATGCAACTTCCTTTCTTGTTTAAGGACTATCCTCAAATTTCTATACCAATCTAGAAAGTTTTTTCGTAATTAGCTTATCCTTCTTAAGGACAAATTGCAAAGATAGGTCTGTAAGATATGTTGGATGCCATCTACAATTAAAAAAAAAGTAGAATAAATATCATGTATAAAATTCATTTAATTAGGCCTTTAATCAAAGGAACCTCCCACTATTTTATCTAAATCAATAACCCTTACTATTAATTCAAAAAATCCAACTATTGAAACTTTCTACTAAGCTAAGATCCATATTTCACCTAGTATTGAGTCCGCTTTGGTTGATCCCCTAAGACCTAGTTATTTAGGTAGATTTACACTTGCCAATTGTAATCTCTTGAAACGGTTAGATAATTATGTAAACAACTCTTGTTATAATCCATCTAATAGACTAATACTCAACTTTATGCCTATAGCCCTTATCTCATGACTTGGTTAAGTTAAAACCTAATAGTTGATAATTTGGATATCACTTATTTGCCCAATCGCACCTCACCGAGATAAGCTAAGTTCCTTGTTTTGGCAAGCCCACATATAACCGATCTAGGCCTTAATGAGTATCAAGTATTGGTAGGTATTTTTACGGACTTAACTTTACCATTGAGGGATTTAGGCTAATTTTTTTATAAAGATCTCATCATTAATTAAGCCATTTACATGTGTTATGTCTAATGCATCTCATACATATGTAGCAATAAAAGCATAAATATAAATGTGTCATAGTTATGGCCAAGATCTACATCAATCTTCTCAAGCCAATGAAAATATTGAAAAGTCAACCTAGGGAAGTAAATCTCCACCATGTCTCTTCCTTTGTTAACTTCTTTGCATGGTCACCACCATCTTACCTCTATGGCTAATCACAAAATTCAGTTCAAATAAATTATACTAAATCTATGCTATATAACAATTACATAGGATAAGGAAACCTCGAGTTACATTATGAGAAGAGAATTTTATGATTAGAAAATATAGAGGAAGGCATGACATGCAAGTCGTATTTATAAAAATTACAACCATAATAAATACACGCTGATCACATTAGTCAACAAGGGCCATAACTATGCACCATGCATCATATAACATAAAATCATGTAAAAAAAATCTTAAAATCATAATTTAAAATCATAAATAGTGAATGACATCTATCATTGCATCACTACCATCCAAGTAATAAGAATGTCAATGATTCGACATTACCTTTTTTGTGACATATATTACCATGTAGTCTACTCTCTTTGTCCGAGATGTCTAGATTAAATATGAGACATGGAATGTATCATTCTTATATGGTTTAATCTTAGCATTTTGATAAGCCATTTTCTAACCTATAGACTTTAGGTAAGTGCACCTATCATTCTATAGTACGGTTGACGGAGTATCGAGTGTCGATCCACAGAGACTACGAGTACTAGTAATCAACTTCTTTTTATTATCTAACCAACAAAGTATAGTGATAGTGAATAATTAAAAGAAATAATAACTAAAGCGAGTTATAAAATACTATTTGAATGGCATGAAATAGGCCTAGCAGTATCAGAACGTTTGTAAACTCCTTTGAAGACAAAGATACTAAGACTGCTGTATGCTGTGCAATATCATTCAATCAACTTTTCTTCCATGGCATGAAATTCCTAGGCCTCCAAAGCACTCTCCGATAGTACTGTAATATCATTCTTTAGTATCATTCTCCTTTTTTATAACTGCAAATTCATTTCGTTGGAATTACGTCTTCATGCCTTTACAAGCATTCTTGCTGGTTTGTGATGTCAGCTTTGTGTGTGTCCTCATAGAGTTGAACCTTTCATTCACAGAGCAGTGGATCTCATCCTTTGAGGATTTCATTCGTATGGCCTCATTGGATCAAGCAGAACTAGACAGCAGCGTTCTCAGAACCACGTTGTGACGCAGCTAATCAAACAGAAGCAATTCAATTGAATGAACATTGATGGATTCAGTGTCATCCAGTTTACTCTGATATCTATTTCATCAATCTAGTTCATGGTCAAAGTGAAAGGAACCCCTGATAGAGCAGAGACAAACAACCTTTGAGAGGCAGCTTTTCTGCTGTCTGTGTCTACTCAAGTGGTGAAATCTGCTCCCGCGTGCCCTCTCTTGTCTGCTGCTGCCCCTGGCACACTGAGTGCCAGCTGTCTCTCAGTGGCTCCTGGCCACTGCAGACCCTTCAGCTGTTCCTCAGTGCACCTCATGTGACTGTGGGCAGGAGAGCACATGCATAGCCGTATCTCTGCCTCGTATAATGGGCTTTGTTCTTCTCTGTGAATGAATGTTACATTACATGGTGTGTCTATACTGATGTGGTGTGGGTCTCAAAGACAGGACTTGCTCAATGACTGGCCCCTGAGCATGGACTGTGCTTGGGGGGGGGGGGGGGGATGGTATTATTACATTAAAACATAGCTAAACAAGATAAATGAAATGCCAAAATTATACCATTTATCACCAAAGATAATTAAAATATAAGAAATTTGACACTAAAAATATGCATAAATAGGCACTTATAATATTTCTTGATGTATGAGTTAACTACTCTAAACAAATGTGATCGATATCTCATATTGATTCATTTGAGCACGACCATGTATTTCATAATCTCACTCAATCAAGGGGCCTATAGATATTACTCCTATTATATAGAAGTGACAAATTCTATCTACATCACTCACATCCCTCTACATGATTCATGGTATATCTAATAACCAACTTTATAGTTCATCCTGTTATAGATAACATTTGATGGTATCAAAATATATGACTTTTTATGTAGGGAACCACGGTGACTTCAAGTTGAAGGAACATGTACACCATAATCGAATGAGATTAACTTATAGCACTCTTATAACAATCCATATAGTGATCTCATCCTTGATCGATCCAATATATTTTCTCTAACATGTACCTATATGTCGAGTTGATATCTCATATCCGAACATATTATTATAAGTCAATACACATATAAGTCTCAATGCTTTATTGGTTCCCCTTTAATATATCTATAAGAAAAACACTTGATTAGGGACATTTAAGAATAATAATATTCTTAAGACTTTATCATGTTCATTTAATAAAATGCAGGAATAAATAAACATAATAAATGAAATGCCTTATATATAATAATAATAATAATAATAATAAGTGTATGCTAGTATAATCAAACTATGATTGACTTTTAAGGCATACACTAACAATGATGACTTCAAGTCAAAAAATTACGTGCACCCATCTCATATGAGATTCTCGTAGACTAAACCAAATGGGTTCTCATGGTGAGTCATGTCTAGTGATATATTCTCTAACTTATTCACTTCAGTACTTGCTTTGTTATCACCATGATAGAAAGTGTGAGATCTTCTATCGTTATCCTATAGTAAGAGTATAACACTTACAAGTCTTACTACATGTTATCAATGTTCGGTCTTAACAATGCTATGACTTGAGACATGTAATGATATCATTTAAATACATTGATGTTTGTCTAACATCTATTGATCAATTATTCATGCAATATATATCATATGGACTTCATCTAATTCTATCAAATTATAAATAACAAAAATTAATAAAAAGACTTCTTTATTGATATTAAAAATGTAATAATACAATTTATCAAACAATATAAACGAAGTTAGATCTTGTGTACCTCCGCTAACAATCTTCCACTTGTACTAGAGCTAACTAGTCACACCCCTTATGTTTGACAATCGAATAAGGGTTTCATGTTTATGTTGTGACAAAGGCTTAGTCAAGGGATTTCTTATGTTATCATTAGTGTGGAACTTTTCTATCCTTATATCACCACGAATGATAATCTCTTTAATCGAGTGGTAACATCATAATACATGCTTGGATCATTGATGAGACCTTGGTTCCTTAACTTATGCTATGGCTTTGTTGTTGTCATAATACAATACTATAGAATTAACAACGTTTGGAACAACTTCCTTGGCTGTTTCTATGGCTACAATGTATTCAATCTTGATTGTTGAGTCGACTATTATATCTTGTTTAGAACTTTTCCAGCTTATAGCACCACCGTTCAATAAGAAAATGAATCATGACTATGACCTAAAGTCATCATGATTAATTTAAAAACTAGCATTTGCGAACCATTTTACAAATAGTTCATCTCTTCCATAGACTAAGAAAACATCTTTGGTTCTTTTCATGTACTTAAGAATGCTCTTGATGGTAATCCAGTTGTTTCTTACTTGGATCAGCTTGATATCCGCTGCATATGCTCAAAACATATAAGACATCAAATTTCATACATAGTATGGCATACATAATAGATCCTATGGTTGATTTATAGGGAATGCAATTCATCCTTTCCTTTTTTCTTTGTGCTTTAGGACATTCAACCTTAAAGAGTTTTATGCCATATGACATTGAAAGAAGTCTTTGGAGGATCATGTATCCTATAGATGTGCAAAATAAAATTTTTTTTCCTTCATCTAAGGTTCCTAAGATCATACCGTTGAATCAACTAATTATATATTAAGATGAATATGAATATAAGTGAAACATTACCTATTGTAATGTAGAAAACAATTAAGTGGATAGGAAACTATCCAAGTGTCTAGCCTCTATTGATAATCCATATAGCTTAAACACTCATAAGGGAAGCCACATAAGTCATACAAAGCTAGCTTCAATCCTTCTTTATAGTTGATTTTCTTTCTAAAAAATCAGTTAGGGTTTTTTGTGATAACTCAAGCTTTTAGAAAGAGATGCGACAACTCAAGCTTTTTAGGAGAGAAACACTTTCTGTTTATTTTCTTTTCTTTTTGCTATGTCTTTATGTTTTTCTTAGCCCCCGTTGTTGTCTTTCTCCCTTTATTTATATAAGGGGATGGTATTGGAGGACAAGGAGTTATAACATATGTTCTTATCCTCGTAAACCCCGAGCCTTATCCGGTAGTGCTCAAGTTTATCCTCCCATAAAATATTTTGCAAGCTTTTAAATTAAGCATATTGGCCCGTACACTTTTGATCAAATTAAATACTAATTAATTTGGACCATTTAAATAAATTGGGTCTAAGTATTTTCGTGGAGCTCACATTAGAAAATTATTTCTTAAATTATCCTTAAACATAAATTTGGAAACTAATTTTCCTTTTAGGTAACTAAATTTCAAATTTGGAACCGACTTCCAAGTTAGGAAACTGATTTCTAAAGTAGAAACTTTTCATTTTAAGAAATTTTTTTCAAAACAGAAACTTTTTAAAAAATCTTTGCTTCTCTTTTATTATACAAATGCTTAAACTTATACATGTGACTCACTAGGCTCGTAGACATGTTGACAATGTATCAAGAATAAAAGACACCTTTTTTATCTCTTGATACATAAATCAAGACCGGCCTTTAGCAAAGCATTATGATTACCCAATTTTTCAAGAGGATTAATTAATCCGTAATTACCTTTCACGAGTATCGTTACCTTATAATTTAGTCCTCATGTTAATCTATCATAGTGTGATCTTGAACTTGGCTTATAGTGTTTGATTGTGATCATGTAAATTTTCTTTGATTCCTAAATGTTTTAGCTCTAGAGTAAACCAACTATGCTCTATTTGTATACTTATACTATGGCCATAGATTCCTTAAGTAGACATTCATCGAAATGTAATGTGATAACTCCTTTAATATATAATGCATGACATGTCCTATCTTAGTCATCTACCTATCCGCATTAGATTTTAGTGCACCCAACGAATCGCCCACGTGGAACTCTTGACTAAGCCTATCAAAATGAGTGTCAAAGTACATAAATCCTCTAATGAGATAATCGTGATGATTTCAAGTCAAAGGACCAATTGTACCCATCTTATATGAGATTTTCATAGACTAAATCAAATGGGTTTTCATCGTGAGTCATGTCCAATGATATATTTTCCAACATTAATCACCTAAGTGCTTGCTTTGGTATCACCATGCCAATAGGTATGAGATCTCCTACTATTATCTTATAGTATGAGCATAACACTCACAAGTCTTACTCGTATATAGTCAATGTCCATTCTTAACTATGCTACAACTTGGGACATTTAATGATATCATTTAAGTGCATGAATATTTATCTCACATCTTTTGATCAATCACTAATGTAATGTATATCATATGGACTTCTATTTAATTCTATTAAAATATGAATGAAAAAAATAATAAAAGGACTTTTTTTATTAATTAAATAAAGAATACAATATTATAATCAGTCAAATCATCCAAACAAGGTTAGATTTTAGGTACCTACACTAGGAGTACTCTCTTTGACTCTTTCATACTAAAACTTTTTTGTAATTTGTCAATGTATGTGCTTTGAAAGAGTCCTAACATTCTTTATGTTCTATCTCTATAGATCTTAATTCTTAGAATGTAGGGTGCCTCTCTCATATCTTTCATGAAAGAAATTCTTGGACAACCAATCTTTTACAGATTGCAACATGGTAATGTCATTATCAATAAGTAGTATGTCAACTACATATAGCACAACAAAGATTATTGAGCTCTCACTAATATTTTTGTATACATAAGGTTCATCTTCGTTTTGTGAAAAGTCAAACTTTTTGATCGTTTTATCAAAGCATTGATTCCAACTCCTAGATCCTTCCTTAAATCCATAAATGGATCTTTGCAATTTGTATATCTTATTTGTATGTCTTTTTGGTGGCAAAACCATTAAGTCGTGTCATATTCTTATTCAAATTTTTCATTAAGAAAAGTGGTTTTGATATCCATTTTCTATATCTCATAATCATTATATGTAGCAATTTCAAGCATAATCCTAATGGATTTAACCATAACTACTTTTAAAAGGTTTTTTCATAATCAACCCCTTGTTTCTAATGATAGCCTTTGACCACTAGTTTGGCTTTGCATGTACGTACATTTTCATCTATGTCATTCTTTCTCTTAAAAATCCACTTACACCAAATAGGTCCGACACCTTTAGGTGGATTAAACAAACTCTATACTTGGTTAGTGTATATGGATTCCATGGATTTATGCCATTTTTCAAATTTGAAGTCTAACATTGCTTCTTCATAGATATTAGGTTCATCATCCTCTATAAGAGACACAACACCATTTATAAAGATAAGAAGACCATATATTTTTAGCTCTTTACGAATCCTTTTAAACCTATGAAGTACTTATGTATCAATTTATAAGACATTTACAATACTTTATAACCTATCTAATTAGGGTTCCATTAATGGAGTGTCAATTTGTGAGTCTTATTGAATCTCATCGAGTTCAA